CCCCCCCCCCCCCCCCCCGCCAGATTTGTGAGTGGGGCGAGGGCAGGCTGCCCACTGCAGGGTCAGAGCCAGATGCTGCACCGGCCTCTTCCCAGTGGGGGGGCTGGGCCAGGGCTGCGCTCACAGCGGTGGGGCAGGCAGTGGTGGTGCTGGGAGGGGTGGCTACAGTAGCCACCCCATAGCCACCCCTCCTAGCGCCACTGCCACCCACCCTGCCCCCTCGGAACCCAGCCCCAGCCCAGCCCCCCTGCCAGGAAGAGGCCATTGTAGCCCCGGCCCTGAACCCACAGCAAACAGCTTGCCCTCACCCCATGCACAAGTCCAGGTGGGGCACATGTCTCCCCTGGGGTTACACTCTGGCCAGGCAGCGCCTGCCCCACTCCCTCCCTCACTGTGCGGGCCTCAGTCTGCTCCTCCCCCCAGACTTACCAGCCAGATGCTGCTCTCCAAGCTTCCAGGCTGCACTCCTGGCTGTGTGCATGATTCTGCTGCGTGCATGCATGCAGCATTTAACGGTGGCATTAGTAGCTACACTGGCCAAAAACAGCCGATTGCTGATAATATTAATTTTCCTTTTATTGGTGCTATTTCGGTATGCGACTAACATATCGGTGCACCTCTAACTCCCTTAGTTGTAAAGTTCACTTGCAGGCAAACTTTATTAAAAAATTTAAAAGTTACTGTGTTTCTTAAAATAAACCACAGTTTCCGTTTAAATGTACAGTTTTCATTGCAGTATCTTTGGTGTAGGGATATTGTTTTATTTGACTGTAAAGTGTCATAAACATTTAGGCTGCTGTTTAAATGATGGATACCTTTCCACTAAAGACTTTTGATTATTTTAAGCATCCATTTTTTTCTACTGATCTGAGATTTAATCTTTTCCAAGAATATAGACTCATAATAGCATAAAACCTCTTTTGCTCAGGCTCTCTTTTCTGTAAATTAGAAACCCATATTTCCCTTCAAGGGAGGATCTGAAACACAATTTTAGAGATTGGTAGGAAGCGTTAAAAACTTCAAATTACTATGCATTATTTTAAGGAGTTATTCCAAATAAAGCTAAACACAATTTTTACTGTTATTGGAAAACTGATTACCATCTTAATAATTAAAACATAATAGAAATTCTGCTGGTTCAAATGTCAATACCTCCAGCTACTCAGCAGATGCTTTTTCCTTGCTGTATTTATTTTAGTATTTTTATATATTACTTGGAAGCAAGTCATGTGTCATCATGACTTATTGCCATTTTAATCCAAAAGAATGCCAGCTTTAACTTCTGTAATGAATGTCCCAATTAATAAATACACTGTATTTCTCTCTCTCTCTCTCTCTCTCTCTCTCTCTCTCTATATATATATATGGCAACCTTTTTTCAATAGGGTACAGTAAGTACAAAGCACATAAATTATAACTTGATCAAGGCTTAAAGTTGCCTCCTCGTTGGGGCAGAAACATCACCTTCATATGTATTTGTACAATATCAGTGAGTGCCAACTGCAGCCCCTGTGTGCTTTGGTAATATAAACATTAAATTGTAATATGATAACAGTTCCTCTTAAAGAAAAGTTGCAACAGCATAGTACCCATGCAAAGTACTCATTTTACTAAATTACTGTGCTAGGGTTAAACCAATCCCATTAGTAACCTTACATATACAGTGGGTCGAATAATAGATATGAAAAATTCTTGCCCCTCTATCCTGACATACACATTTACAGCCTGGAAACTGCAAAAAAAGATTATGTCACATAGGTATAGTGTCTTTAGCTATTGCCATGAGGTCATTAGATTACATAATAATAATAATAACAGTAATCGTACTGCTCCTATCTTGTGAAAACAGAATAGGAAATGATGCCTCTGGTTATCAAGTCAGTCACAATTTCTTCCCTCTAAAATTACATTAGAACTCTTGAAAGATTTATTCAAAAAATAAAAGAGGGTCTTCTATCAAGTTCAGATTGCTATGCTGAAACACGTATACATCTTCCCACTTTAATACCTGCACATTTTAAAAATCTGAAGGAGTAGTAAATTATTATGGGATAAATACCTGCGACCTCTCTGATGCTGCACGGCTTGACATGCTGTTTGCATGAAAATAATACCCTTCAATTCTGGAAATTCAAGAATCTCAAGGTAATCTTGAACAACCTTCCAGTCAGGGACAACATAGTGAGTCACATCATCTGACAACAATTTCCCATCTGAAACATAATTCAAATTTTAGATGTGTAAACAACATTTGCAACACTGGTTTATTAATAAATGTCTGCCATGCTAGGAAATCCTAGTTGTACAGAATAAAAATATATACGCATCTTTAACCTCCTACTTTTCTAATGTCTCATATGGTACAACCTTGCCTCATTTTGCTTTCTGGGATTGAGGGCTTCTATATATTGACATAATCTTATGAAAATAACTGAAAGGGAACAAAGGTTTAATTTCATTATACAACTTAGCGTGCAGACAATAGATCATTTTCTCTGCTATTGTGGAAAAAAAATTGAAAAAAAGATTTGATACAAAATCTCCTATGGATTTATGCAATGGGGTGTATTCTTTCCAGGAATTGCTCCCACAGATGTTGTTACCAGCCAATAACCCACTTACTGCTGGCAGGCTTGCCTAGAGCCCTTTCCCCATATTAACAATATGCACATAAGCATACACATTTGGAAAAAAGACACTTCTCCAAAATTG